GGTAGTAGGTAGTAGGTAGTAGGTAGTAGGTAGTAGGTAGTAGGTAGAGGTAGTAGGTAGTAGGTAGTCGGTAGTCGGTAGTCGGTGGTAGGTAGTAGGTAGTAGGTAGTAGGTCGCTGGATCAGAATAGACAACCATTGGACTGAGACATGTCGATCGCTGGATCAGAATAGACAACCTCTGATTCGGATTCGTTCCATTTCATTGTAAAACGACTTCGCTTGAAATCAACAGCAACAAACTCTCCCAGCAAAATGCGCAACTCCAATGCACCCACAAGTCTGATTGAGCAGGGTATTGTTGTTTGATGTCATTCCGGGTCTTTCATTTCAAACGATTTGGAGAAAAAAACGACAAATCATGCCAGATCTAGAAATTCTTCGGTCGCTTTGAAGCCTTCTGTGTGTGAAAAAGAATATCTGGTGCGTGTCGCAATCCCTCGAGACGGTCGAAAAAAGGATCCGAAAAGGAAAACATGCACACGGCCAAGTAGTTTGGAAGAAGAATCGTTTTCAAGGTCATGTTTTGTGGATAGTCTTGGTTCGCATTGCTTGTGTTGGTTTCACTTGGTTCCTCTTAGGTGCTTCGACTGAGACATGCCGGTTCGGATCGCTGGATCAGAATAGACAACCTCTGATTCGGATTCGTTCCATTTCATGGTCAAACAACCTTGAAATAAACATCAACAAACTCACCCAGCCAAATGCACCAACAAGTATGATTGAGCAGGGTATTGTATCATTAAGCTGCCTGCACCAACAAGTATGATTGAGCAGGGTATTGTATCATTAAGCTGCCTGCCAATGCGGGCTCGAGCTGGTGGCCGGCGGCATGCCGAAGGCTGTAAATAATGGCGATGGCCTCCAACCTAATAGCGATGGCCTCCAACCTCATAGCGATGACCTCCAACCGAACGGGGATGGACTCCAACCTAATAGCGATGGCCCTTCCAACCTCATAGCGATGGCCCCTCCAACCTACTAGCGATGGCCCCTCCAACCCAATAGCGATGGCCCCTCAAACCCGATAGCGATGGCCCCTCCAACCCAATAGCGATTAACCTAATAGAGATGGCCTCCAACCTAATAGTAATGGCCCGCCAACCTAATACAGTAGCGATGGCCCCTCCAACCTAATAGCGGATGGCCCCTCCAACCTACTAGCGATGTGGCCTCCAACCTAATAGCGATTTGTGGCCTCCAACCTAATAGCGGTGGCACCTCCAACCCAATAGCGATGTGGCCTCCAACCTAATAGCGATGTGGCCTCCAACCTAATA